GTGCTCCGCTGGCGGCGCGGCGCCTCACCCGTGCCTGCCGGCCTGGCTGGCTGCGGGGCTGCTTCGGCACTGTGTCATGCTGGGCTGTCAAAGCCATGAGGCCCGCCGGCCACATTTTCCGGTCTGCCCTAACAACTAGCGAGCCCGTTAACCGATGCAAGTAAAAATGTAGTTGTTAAAAGTGTGATGGAAATAGGCCTGCAAGTGTCCTGGCTCAGGGACAGAGAGAGTACTCACAGGGGAAAGAGGCCTCACGAATGTCCCAGCTACGTGAAAAGCCTGGAAGGACTCTCACGGTCAACAGTGAGATGCAAATCCACAGGAGACCAGGCTTTCTCCGTGCTGGTGCTCGTGGAAGGACTTGCGAGTTTCCTCAAATTTTCTGCCTCTGCCAGGAATCAGAAGGCACTGACAATACCAAAAACTTCTGCAAGGTGCAGGAGTGGTTACTTGCCTGTGGTTACGTGAGATGGTTCAGGATCCTCTTTATGCCCCAATGCTTTTCCTAGCTGCCCGCACAATTGTTTGCGGCCTGTGTTTCTGTATCTCCTGTGGTTTGGGATCTTCATGTATGTGTTGTCTTATCATCTCAGCATCTGTATTGCTGTGCTTCAACTTCAGATTTTCAAAGTTCAATTTTTCTCAAAAGTTTTGACAACCAATAATTCTAAATTTTTGCCTGCCTGCTTCACCAGGCCTCCCAGGGGAAGAAAGCCATGCAGTAGCTTCAAGCTATGTTCACGTAGGAAAAAAAACGCCCTGTAATTGAAAGCATCATTTGCAACAGCCTCTTGACTAGAAGTTGGGCGCACTGCCGGGGTGTAAGACCTGCTTACAGATGTCAGCCTAGGCACTGCAAGTGCCTCCTCACCTTTCTAGACGCAGAGCGTGAAGACTCCGGTGCATTTGCCCCATAGATAGCAGAAAGGCTTTTTTTTTTAAAACAAGGAACAACAGCTGAAGCTTCTGTATGTCTTTTTGCCTGAACTTAAATGTACCGGCTACATTAATGCATTTATTCTTAGAACAATCTGAAGCATAATTACTCCCTTGTGGTACAGGAAGGGAAAAAAAAAGGCAAGCAGCGAGAGATTAAATCTCTTGCGCAAAGCTAAAGACATAGGAAAGCCAGGAAATGAACTCAGATTTCCCGAGTCAGGCGTCATTGCTTTAACCACACAGTCATCCTTTCTTTCAGTCATTCTCAGCTTCTGAGCATTAATGTAAACATCAACTGTATTAGCATAGATTTGATTTTTCCCTACTTTGTTCATCAGAACGACTTCACTGTTCCCACTGAAATTTCCTCCAACTAACTTTCTTCTCCATTTCCTTCCCAAAAGTAAAAGAAATTATATTACAGACTCACTGGGAGAGTCTTAAATTTCCCACTGCCTTTCTGCAGGCACTGGCAGGTATTTCTTCAACTCCCACACAAAGCAACTGTGGGGCTTCCATGATGGATCTCTTAGGCAGGTACCCAAATGCACAGTGAACGAGATCAAGGAACAAATCGTTCCCTGTCATCATACTTTTCAGCTAGATTAGAGGACTAGGAATGCTTGTAACCAACACAAAGGAGACACACAAACTATGTGTACTGATGTCGGTGGTATAACCACCTTTTTTAACTCCAGCTCATACTTTTATTATCTGAAAATGATTATGAAACAAAACTCTAAAAGAAAACTACATATATAAAAGAAGAACACAACCTAGAGATATTTTAGGACAGATTTGAGAGCCTCCGCTAACTGTTTAGACATTTAACAGATTTCTACAATGCTTATATAGCCTCAAGATTAAGATCCAGTCTTTAAGCAGAATTTATAGGTTTCGAAAAATAACTTCAAAAAAGGGAAGCTTTACATACACAACTCCAGCTTCTGACTACTTAACTCGAAAGATAGTCTTAATCCTACTGACAGACTACAGACCAAGATCTAGCTATGATCAAGTGCAGTATCTTATCAGTTTAATATGTGATACGTCTTCAGCTTGAGGACTTTACATTCCATTGATTTTATACTAAATTGATTTAAATGGACTTTATATTACACTGGGAGATGGACTAGAAGCTTGTTTTATCCACTTCACTCACTGACCTGGCATTGTGCTGCCTCCAAAAACCAGAGAGACAGCAATGGGTAACACCGACCACCCAGAGAAGAGTGCAAGAGCTAGAAGAGCACATAGTGATATTCACACAAATATTCTCCCAGCCCCCAGCAGTTTGCAGGCCTTCATGAGCCAAGGACACACTTTCCCCCAAATTTGGTGACGTATGAGCAGCTTCATTGCAGGGAGCATTAGGGAGGCCTAGTTTTCCTAGTAATAGTTGAACAGGTATTTTGAGAGTATCCAGCTGTAACCTTGCTGGCTTCCTTAGTTTCAACTGACTTGCTGATCGTTAATGATAATGAGATAGGTGTAAGCAACCGGCCATACAATATGAACCTTGTTGATTATTGTAAATAAAAATATTTCCAGTCGGTATCTGTATCATACACCGGCTTGAAGGGAAACTCTGTTCTTTCTTTTAACTTTGGATTGGTTTCCATTTCATGTATTTTTGCAAACTGGAAGTACATGTGTTTCCCTAACTCTAGTGGAAAATGAAAGAAGGATTGTTCAAATTTGTCCGTGTAACAGAATTCCACTCTCTTCACAAAATCTGAACTTGATGTTTCCCATCCTCTGAATTACAATGAAGCTGAGTTAATCTGCTTGAGTTAAAGTCATCCTCAAAGCAAGGACAATCTCCTTCTTCACATCACTTCATAAAAAAAATCCTTGCCAGGTAGCTCATATGCTGTGACTGCTACTAACTATTCTGTTCACAATAATTTCATTTTTACCTTGTGCATCCACGTTCTGTTACTGTATTCAAATACTTTCTACTCTGATTTTATATTACCTGATACATGAACCGTATTTTATCTGTTTGCATTGTTTCTAGTTCAAAAGGGCTAAGCAGCTAGGTGCCACCATTTTTTTCCACATATAAGTAATAATTTATTCATTGCAGGCATTTTACTGCAAAACCTGTAGCATGGACTCTCACTATCTCACAAACGTTCAAAAAAAGGAAAACAGAGGTTAGAATTAGAGAGTATATGCTTCTTGGGGTATAGCTGAACTTTTGATGAAATATATGACAGTGCATGCAGTTGGATGGTTAGGGGTTGAAATTCTTCATTTCAAAATGTCTCATTCTGTAAAATCTATTCATTGACAGGCATCAAAAAATGAACTGTCATCTGTTTTCTTAATCCGTGTCTCTACAAATAGTTCTTTCATTAAGGAATACATCCTTTATATTTTCCAAGTTTTAATTTGGTACTAGAGATTCACTGTCTCCAGAATTACCTATTTAATTTTCAACTTCTAGTAATTTTTAAATTATACACGTAACTTCATTTTTGTACTACCTTAAAAATATGTACTAGAATGAGTATTATAAGTTGATGAACTCGTTTGCTGAGATAACAAAGAAGGAAAACAATGGGCTAATGTCACATACAAAAATACTTACATGACTGTGCTCATATGTGTGTATATTTATTATTTCCATGCATGGTGTCCATGGGTAAGTAAACTTTGTGTGATTCTGCAATAAATAATCATGTAAGAATAAAATAATGAATAGGAAATTCTGCTTGGTGCAAGCTGAGGTCTTTACAATGGTTCACTGTCACTGCATCTTCTTTTGTGTACGTAT